AAATGAAATGGTCATCTTGTTGTGTCTGGGAACAAAATTCTGTAATACCTTACTAAAAGTATTCGGGGGACACCAGGTACGCTTGCAGTAAAGATGGACTTTCCTCCACATTGACATCTTTATCGTGTTTTCTGGGAGGATAGCAACATACATTAACTCCTTAGCGATATTTTTTGTAGGTTTCCCAGCCGTTGATGCCGTACGCAAAAGAAACCTTTCCGTGGCCTTCTCGTATCCACTTAAGTTTCACCCAAGCACCGATCTCTTCAAAGCAGAATCTTTGGAATCCAAAGACGGATGACTCTATACATGCATACCAATTCGGTTTAGACCGGAGACTCACATGGAACTCAGCAGGATCTTTCGCTGAGGACCATCATAAACGGGAGACTCAGCTGGGTTCCAGGTGAATCTCCTGAGAACCAAATAGGTATACGGATGAGTGTATAATTCACATTACGTGCAATTTTGTTCAAGTAGAACATAAGGTTGACGGAAACTAGGGGACTGTACCCACTTGCTAAGCCCCAAGAAGGGCGGAACCGTTTGTGGGCTGTCGAACAGTTGTCAGCCCTATGATCAGTAATTGGTGCACCACGTTTATAAAATGATGAGTCTATTTTTTCAGTGACTATGTGCACTTCACTTAGAGGCTTTGATTCGTATTTGAGCTACAGGGTGTGACTGCCCATCTTTGGGAATTTCTTTCTGGATAACGGCATAATTAGTTTGCATTCTAGTTCATATCCTGTATGACTGACTATTTCCAAATAGCCAGTACTGAGAGCAGTCAGTTGACCACAGAGAGTGGCACTTTTCTGTTGTAGTAACCAAACAACATACAAAAGCTGGTTGCCAAGTAGTTCCGCATACAGTTTAACTAAGGCGGTACCATATGGTTCATATGGTAGACGAGTGTCTGGAAAAACAGGTCCTGACAAACACAAACATTAGAAAATCTTGAGAAAAAGTCTTGAGAATAATTATCATGTGTTGGAGCGTAAGCCTTTTTGGTCAGAACTGTTTGGAATGGTCCTTAAAGTGATCACTGTGCAGTAACCACACAACCACAGAAGAACATTCGGAGAGAAGAAGAACTGAGAAGATTATCTGATTAGCTACTGAAATGAGGGTTTAAAGAAGTACTGCATTTTCCAAGGTGTTGCGGTTCTATGTGTTGTTAGCTGTTCTCGAAGAGAGCTCGGTTTCAGGAGGATGTACTCATAAGCAAGTCTGGGCGCGTCCCACCCAATTTACTTTTCTCGACCGAAGAAACTCACTGATTCTGGTTGTACCAATTGCACTTAATGAATAGTCATTTGGTTATTACATTTGTTGGAATAATAACAGAGGCACATTTCGAAATTATATTCACTCGATAAGACGAAAAACATAAATAGGAACAGCGCCAATATAGTCCATCACTTGGATCGAAGATCTTGATCAAAATTTTCATAGCCACCGTGTTGTTTTTATTGCCGTCGACAGGTTTGCCTAGTTCCTCGTTTTAAGAATAAACTCCTGCAGTTCGTTGATACTTTGCCTTGCGCGATCTTCCAGTAGCGTACGTAATGAGGCAAGCAAACGGTCCCGCAAGTCCGGGTTGAGTCTAAAGCGTGTAAAGAGATTGGTAGGTGAGTGTTGTAAAAGGTGAAAAGGCCAGTCGGTGGTCGCCTCAAGAATATAGTTCAAAATTAAGCACTTTCAGAACAATAAGTGAACGTAAAATACAACGCTGACCAAAACAACGTTCACAAACAGCATTTTCGGGGAGAGTTGTGCAGGGTTTCCCCATTGTAATATCATTTCCATAAAGAAAGCCGTGTCTACATTGCACTTAGGTGATCGATGTGATAAATGACTTGTGGACAACGTGGAGAAAAGCTAACGCATTACCAGCTGGACTGAGCAGACCGGATTGGCCAAAAATGCCCGGGAAATTAACGCTGGAAATATATACTGTCTGTATCGCTAGTCATGAGTATACTTTCACGTAACACCATCCAGCTAGAGTTGATCTTACCTAATCTTATCATTTTGGCCCCTCGGTGTGGGAATTAGCGAATGCAGAATATCCATGGACCACTAACTGCATTTAATTGCGGCGCCTCAGGTTCTGTTAAAGCCAGATTGTGAGCAAAAACTGTTTGGGCTAACATCAATGTAACCTGCCTTGCCATGGACGCCAACAATTGGCCGAAGTCCTCTTGGAGATTAGAAAAGATGACTTAAAACGCATATTGCCACCGAGGTTACCAACTCACTAGCTATTTATGGATCGATATTCAGCTTCCCAAATCACGAGAGAGAATTTTGGGGTGAACGCTTGTTCACATGAGGATCCTTTGAACCGAGATGGAGAAAGAATGTCTGATTCACCTTACTCAATGAAAAGTTTTGGGGATTCATTATGGAGTGAAACCAAGCAAACGCTGAAAATGCGGGGTCGTTTAAGTGTGATTTATTCGGTATTTGTCAGGCAGTTGTTACTAGGCAGTACTCTGAACTGACTATATACTAGATTTTTCATCAGGCTATTTCATACTTGAATGACGAAAATGCATGGTGCGTATGTGAAGGCCCCCAATCCACACGAGGTAGATATGAACCACTGCATATCGTATGATTATTACGACAAAACGTTCGATGACTAATTCGCTGTGTATCGAATGTGGTTGCGGCATAAACTGTACAAGAGGTCACCGAAGTTTGGTTGCAATCTAATCATACCATTAATGGGAATTTGCGCAACTCCTAACTAAAAGACTAAATTCGTCCCGAATGCCGGACATGTCATTGTTGCGGGCTAATCCAGTCGTTGACCTAACGCGTTATGTTATGGGTGATTTGGGTTCATCATCATCAAAGACAGCAACATCAGTGTTGGCACTGATGCTTCACTGCCGTACAACCATTTTAATGTGCCTAGCAAGCTCTTCTCTAAAACGTTGCCACTACAGCAATCTAAAAAGATGCTACCAAATTTCTAGATGAGTAAGATCACTTTCGATTAAAACAAACAGCACACGGGTGAAGGTGACTACAAAACAGACAATACGCCAGAAAAGATGTATGAACGGTTGCTAGTCGCGTGTAACTGCTTCCCAATTTGAAGGGCACTTTTGGGCATTCAGAAGTCGAAGATGTGCACTTGAGCATAAGTCAAGTGACGTTCTAGACACCATGCACCACCAAGCCCCTCAGTGCAGTATGTTTTGTCCGGATACTGCCAAATGCTTCTTCTTTTACGCCGTCTTGTCGACGTTGGTACTTACCTACTGCAAATTTTTCGCACACGTGGCTGCCCATAGATGATTATCCTTTTGTGACAAATCAAAGTACGTTCAAGTGATAGTCGTTCTCAGCGTATCCACACGAATCTAGATAAATGATTCTGCTGAGAAACAGGGTTAATGTAATCCCGTGGTTTCAACTGGGTTTTCCGAGAAGGAGGGTTTAAGCTTGACTAACAGCCGCAAGACAAACGGAGACACAGCGGAAAACAAGCTTCATTCACAAGCAAGTATGCATTTTACAAACCGTCAGATACTGATCTTTGTTGGTTGCGTTGTCCCCACAGTATCGAATTACATCCCTTCTAATCAGGTCAAATTTGGGATTCCACAAAAAACATGAAGCACAATCAGAGCTCTCAATGATTGCCTCTTTACTTGATGATTGTAGCTTTCAAGCACAGACAAATGCCTGTAATATATGCAACGACAATGGACGGACCCTTCATACTGATGGCACTCCAAGTCCAAACATGTCGGTGCATGAATCGCCTGACAGTCAGTGGATGAAAAGACTTCCCAAATACAACACGGCCTTTATCACTTCGCGGAGGTGTCAATGTCACCTATCTCTTTACGGTTCCGCAGCATATACTACAGTTTATACTTGTGAACGTTTTTCACAACTGAGATACTCGGTATCCGATAGGACGTTAATTTTCTGGTCAGGTCGCTTGTGGCTGCTATCACCAAACAAGTTCTCTAACCGGAAACATTGCTGGTGGGCAACCCGAATCCGCATTAGACTCCCCAACCATGCGGTCCATGTCTCAAAACCGCACAACAGCTCAGAAGTTGCAGCACTGCTCGTAAAAACTCTGGCAGGAACTTCTTCATCTTATTGATTTTATCTGGGTAAAAACATCTGTTTGGTGTATATACTCCTAGGAATCTTCAAAAATACGCTTGATTTTCTTTGTGAAAGCTATTTACTCATATGCCCGGTCAAACTAAGTTAGACGTTTGCCTCAAAAGGAGATTTCCCACGAATCATCCCTTCGCCCAGAGCGGACCACTATCACCTGACCTTATTGTGATACATTAGGTGTTTTGAGCGACAACAGGTTAATGAAAAAAATCACAGATGTCTTCAAAATATGATATGAAACCTTATAATTTCGCATGCAATGGGGGAGTCAGATATTCTAGATAGATAATACAATACCAAGCCAAAATGTAACTCGGAGTGCGTAAGACAAACGAAGACGAGGGAGAAGGATAAAACCAGGTGGATTGACTGTCAAAAGTGGTCGAAATTACGTCACCTGCTCCCCCCTGAGATCTCTCCGAAGAGAGCTGCTTTTCCAAAAGTTTCATGACGCAATGAGAACTTCCTTCAAACGAAGTCAGATCCTCTTATCACCTTAGTGAGTAGGGAATGATCTGAACGGCTTTACGAGTTTGCACTCATTGTGGTTAAATTTGGAAAACCAGTTAGGGCGCTATAGCTTTGCGGAAAAATTACGAATGATATACCATCAGTTGTGTTGTTAGGGGAAAACTTTCGTGCAGATAAAACAGGTTAGGTATGTGAAGCCTGCCGAAGTGTCCCCTCGGATTTTTGCATTTAATTTGAGTTCCATTAGCCGGATAAGTTTGGGGGCAGGTTAGCAGGGGTTAGCTACTGCGTAGGTTGATTAAACGCACTTGAACCGAGAAATATTGAAAAACGTTCACCTCCAGTTGTAGAAAGTGATGCGTAACTCGTCAGATTCCAACGTGTACGTAACGATAGGTAAGAGGTGGAATACAAATATCCTCATAATTCCCAGTTACAAAACGTATACGTTTGATGAATTTATCTTGATACATAGGGTTGTTCCGCTGGGCATCGTGGTGCTGTAAAAGAGGTCTGCAAAGTTTCAAATGCGCTACAGTTTGGAGTGTGTTGAAATCTCTTGACACAAATATCTTGAAACATCACGTTTACCTGACAAGCTTTCCCACGGATGCCGTGTAACCCTCGCAGTCCAGACGATATGCCTGGAAAGTAATTTGTTAGTCAGGATATGAAAGAATGGATTACTCACGGCTTCGATCAGTCGTTTTTGCTGGAATATTTCATCGATCCTGGCATCTGTGAGGGTTGATATTTGTGATAGGATTTCGTCCGTTCCAGAAATAGCTGAGGAGCCTAATGGAGAAAGAATCAGTACATTCTGAATGAGTGCAGTGGATTGGTTTATGGAGAGTGTTCAAAGGTTTTAAGTGGCTTTGAATACGTATCAAGCAGCCATTCGTCTCCTAAATGTGTTGGTAGGAGGTCGAGGCGGTTGAGCACGGTGATCTGTGGGTCCATAATGCGAAGGTTTGGGATTTCATGGGGTATTTATCAACTAGGACTGGTCAGTGTCAGCAAATTCATTTCAGAAGAAAAAATTTAGTTGAAAGGTAGTCAGTGAAACAAACAAGAGCAGAAACATTCGGTAAAAATGCTCCACAAAAATGTGAAGCCACAATATACTTTGTACCTATTTAGACTTGTACAGAGCAAGATATTTATCGATTCTCAGCAGTTCATCCAGTTCTGACGCGAAGTGTTGGTAAGCTGCACTAAACTAATGGGCATTCTTAATGCACTACTCATAAGGTAGCTGAAAATTCATCGACAGCCCAAGACCGGTATCGTCCTTCTTCGGGCTCATCAGGTAGGCGCAGTCCCCGAGTTTCCGTTAACGTTTAAACCCGATAATACCGAATAACATAGCGACTGAAAAATGAGGCGGCTTGGTGCAGCACATTCAGTTACCTGGAAACATCACAAACGAGAGATTTAGCTGGGTCCTTGGAAAACAAAATTTATTTGCAAACGAGTGTATTTCGCTAATGAACCTTCTGTTCTGGTGGTGTGTTAAATGTTTTTAGCTTGAGTACGTTTATTGACTGTCGATCTGTTCGCCGAGCCTGCCAACTGACTTGCAAATGTCTCGTCGTTAACAAACTGGCTACTGGTTATATCTATAATGATGACGAACCGTTTATAAGCCAGTTGCCAGGCTGAGACCAGGCCAATACCCACCATGACGACAACCGAAAGCCTGATGTAGGTTTAGGAATATCAGGTGTCATCGTTCATTCTCAAATGCGTTTCATTTATGTGCTTGCTATCACACTGAGAGCAGACAAAGCTAGAACGCTGACATTACTATTTCAACGTGTGGTTGATGTCTGGCCTGATAAATATTACAGCAAATGTAATCACAGCTGAGCAGTCTCCCTAAAGTTTTAACTTCTCGAATTTGAATGTTCCCATATCCACGGCCACCATGTCCACTGTCTCCTGAAACTTTATTGTCATTCGTTTAGCTTAGCAGCTACGCAGATAAAGGATGGCCTCTCTGAATCTAGACGTAATGCATGCCTTCAGTCAAACTTGGCATGCAGACTTGATTACGCACAAGGACCTCTTGTACGTAATGCCACTTCATTCCTAATTGTTATGACCAATCAAACCAGAAAAGGCCTCCTATTCTAATGATTCTTGGAAAATTCATCTACTCGAAGATCAGGAAGAAATTAGTTTAAACAGACGATTTATTAAATTTTAAACTTAAGGTTTACAAATTTGTAAGTCTACTGTAAGGCTAGCTGTTCACCAGCATTGATCGGTGTGTGTGGCCGAGCGGATAACATCGTGGGCTAGCATTCCTACTACCCGGGCGCCTGAAAATCGCCCGTTAGTCTCATCTTGATTTTACGTCCATGATTTTAATAACTAGACTTAAAAAGATACCTCTGATCAGTAAACTAGCCTGGAGAAGTCACCTAAAAATCGGTATGTAAGACATCTTGGAAACTGACATATAGCAACGCAGTCATAGGCTAAATAAAAAACGGGAGGTTGTGAGCTGTTTCTTGGTTCGCTGAGAGGGTAGCCGAATGTACAAGGCGCGTACACGACTACGAATCCAAATGTTGCTAGTTCAGTCTTGCTGGAACCCATTTGCACTGGACATCCACAGATTCCCGGGAGTGGAATTAACTGGTTTGAACGCGCAACTGTGCATGGGGCTTCGTACCCTAATGGGCAACTGGTGAGTGGTGTGGCTGACTTGTACTCACATAGTTCATCTGTGGCTCCTTTGGGGGTTACTTCGATTAGTAAGTTCATAGAATTTGTTGAACATTCCCCCTCCGAGGAATATTTCAATCAGTTGGTTATCAGGATCTCCGTTTTCCATTTGAACCCGTTCGTTGAAATTAACCCTTATTTCTGGGCTACAGCAGCAGCGTTTAGTTAGAATTTACACAAAACGGAAGAATATGCGCAAAAATGCAAGCGTCTAGTAGAGAAGCACAAAGAAACTTAGAAAATCAGAGCGATTTGTACTGTTGAAATCTTTAAATTAAATTTCGTGCTAAAGGAGCCAAGTCATCGAGAGTTCCAGATTAGATGTCACTAGATTTATACAAGATTGGCCTCAGTTATTTCTTCTGAGACACTACACTCAAGCACGTGATCTAATTTACTCAAGAAAAGAAGTGGAACGACATTATCGATTACCTGAGTACACACAGATTGGTTTATGTAAGCTCATATTTTACGTGCAAACATGGTTCAGGAACTAATTCTTAGGCAAATTAAAGTATCAAGCGAGAATGGAGTAGCTGGGTTTTCTTTTCACAATCAAAACACACACCTATTATAAGTAACATGTAGAAATGTAAATAATCATGCCGCAAACATGCGGCGCACTGGTCTCTTTGAGGAAAATCGGATGAAAGAAGACAGACAATATTTTAGCGGACTGCAACAAGTGCGGAATCCAAGAAAATGCTCAAATCCAGACAAGAGTTATCAAAACGACGGGGTTCGATTTGTGGGACAAAGAAGATGTTTGTCTGCTGCACTCCCAAACCTCTCTCTCACGATTTATACGGTAAAGTAACAGGTGAAATCATCAAGGCAAAGTTTCTTTCCACAGCCTGGAAAAACGAAAATGCTCAACAAACCAGTTTTTGTGCAGACTGGCTTATGTAAACAAGTGGGTGTTCAAAACAGCTTTTCAGCATGTTCAAAATTTAGTTAAGAATCACCGTGAATAGATCTTACTGGGAGGGGGTGCCTGATGAGCACTGGTCTGGATTGCCGAACACATTGGCTATCATACTTTTGCACAGAATCGCTAGCCTTTGAAGTACATTTTGTTGCGCGCTATTTCTTGTCATGTATCATTTTCTTGAGGTCGTAAAACTGAACCAACCAGTGCGTTGAATGAGTCGATTCGTGCAAGATCTAAACAGGTGTTTTCGCCTTCAACTCAATGAATGTCATTTTCTCCCTGATGTGATGCAACTCCGTTGAAATTTTGCTTCAGTATATAGTGCTTATGAAAGAGTTATAATTGAACTTGAAGACGCAATGCCCGGTCACATGAAGTATAAGCGAAATTACACTTTCAGGGATGAACCCGAACCACCGACTTAACCTATGGTGCTGGCAGACAGAAATTGTACATCCATCTAGTGAAGAGGACGAAAAACGTGGAGCGTCTAAGTGCATAGATGTAACGTTGAGAAAGCGCCCACGACAGATACGGTAACCCGCGGATCGACAGGTTATTGGTTTCAGTACACTCTTAGAACTCGTTTCAGAAGAGCCTGGTAAACGGTCGGTAGTTTTTAAGCTACCGATTGTTTACTAAGCTCTTCTGAAACAATGACTTCTCAGTCAGTTCCGTAACTCTTCCAATTAATTGAAAAGACCTTCTTGGGACTGTTTTCGAGAAATACACTCATTTGCAAATCAGTTTTGTTTTCACGGGAGACTCAACTGAATCTCTCGTTTATGGTGTCCTCCAACTGATTGTGCTGCACACAGGCCACCTCATGATTCAGTTGGCATGATATTCGAGATATCGCAGTGTATTTTCATAAAGGAAACTACTCACAAGGTTGCTTTCGATATCTCGAATATCGTGCCAACTGAATCCTGGGGCGGCCTGTGTGCAGCACATTCAGCTGGAGAACATCATAAACGAGAGATTCAATTGAGTCTCCCGTGAAAACCAAATTGATTTGCAGATGAGTGTATTTCTCGAAAACAGTGCAATTTGGGTTCAATTAGATCATAAGGTTGACGGAAACTCGGCGACTGCGCCTCCTACCTGATGAGCCCCACGAAGGTCGAAACCGGTCGTGGGCTGTCGAAGAGTTTTCAGCAACCTTGTGAGTAGTTTCTTTTATGAAAATTCTCTTAGGACTGGTTCTCGGTCACACTCTGTGTAACTGGACTTTACAATTCCAAGGCTAGAAATGCCAGCTCAATTAGAAATACTTACGGAACCGTATGGTATCAGACAGCAGATGGTGATTGTGGAAGAAGTTCACGGAAACATGATTATGACTTTCATTTTACTGGAATAGTCAAATTACCTGCGGCAATAACCACTCAGTAGAAGGTAATAGCAACTGGAATGGCTTGTAGTGATCCCTACTGGCCAGCGTAGCACAGCGGAACTAAATCAAACGCTGATGTTACCCTCGCCCAGCCAAAGTTGCTAAGTGAAGCCTCTGATAATTGTTGAAGCTGTGGGCGTGTCTATTCACCCTATAGAACTTCCGCGCTGGTCCGTGTCGCTGTGTCTGACCGCTTTGGGTGGCACGAGATATCCGCATTCTACACTTTACATGGGCCGATCTTTGATTCGCAATTCCCTTCTACTGGACATCCTCCTTGAAGTATTTCTATTGGTTGGAATATCTGGATGAATGAACAGCATCCTCTCTTGTATTTTTTTTTACAAAAGGGAAGAGACTCGACCAATTACTTCATTCTTTCGAATGCGATGACGACTATATTCCTGCACCTGATCTCGACGGGTGGGGTAAGCCAGCTGGAGACAGCCAGACTCGGAAACCTTGGAAGAACCCCGATGGTAAGTCTAAGGAAATCGAATCGGTGACGTAAACAGAGAGAATCAAACTCCGGGTCCAGTAATCACGTTGGAAATTGCGTTCACTGGCTTTGTCGGGCCTTGCGTTATCTTGCATACAAAACCCGAGTGACCAAAGCCGAGAGCAGAACCAACGCTAAGTGGTGTTGGCAGCACTGCCTGAGCAGCATCCTCATCAAACTGCTTCATAACAACTGTTTCCTGGACAGCTTCCGGAGGCGGCTGTAGTTAGAGCTGAAGTGCTGTTTACATCAATGCAGTACTAACCCAAAAAGTGTTCAGATCTCTCGGAGGACGATATGCAAGGCCAATTACGGCCAGGAATCGAAACAGTCATTCATACAAGAATCATGAACTATGCGTGTCCAAACACGTTACGCAGTGTGTTGTACTCCAGAGTTATATGCATCCATAATAGAGAAGTATTGATAAACTTGAATTGCTTGGTCTTTAAGGTAGTCCGCTATGAAACAAGCCTTGTCAAGACACGAATCGAGGAGGGTGAATAAATTAAGCTACCCGAAACGAGCTGCTTAAGGTTCCTTAAAGGCGTTTCACAAATATACTGCTGAACATCCAGACATCACAGAGAAGACATGCAGAACTGCTTTTATGACCTGATAACTTGCAAGCAGAAAGTATGCACGAACCACCTTGAAAATTGAGCGCGCAAGCAATCTGTCTGTAACCTTCACTAATTCGTCGGCCGTCAACTCTCACCATTGATGAGGGTTTCATTTAGTCTTCTACCGCGTGTTAATTGTGCCATGACAACAGCGCTCGCATCGGTGAACATACACATATAGTCCACGTGTTCTCAATTGTCAGTATGCAGTGATTATCATCAATAATGGAGCTATCAGTCTGCACATTCACGGATATGACAGTAGGAAAACCCGTTTGGAAAGTGACCCGGTGCTTCAAGATATAGGCGACAGATAAAACAAGTCGATCAAAAACCACCCAGTTTAGAAAAATATTAAAATAAAGCGCTTACACTCAGATTTATCCTACGGGAATTGCAGGTGGTTTATATACAGAATAGGTGAGATTACGTCTTTCGAATTTTGGGTGCGTTGTAGCCACGAAGTGGACGGCCTGGTACTTTCAGGAACAAAACCAGACGGTGTTAACTAAACTCAGCTGTTTCCGCGGGTTCTCAGTAGTTGAAAAACGCCGTGTTCCAGACACACACCAATCCGGAAGTAAGCAGATTATCAGGTATAATCCAGCCGACCACTGTCGCTCTATGTTGCAGTTAGAAAGTCGACTCAGCACGGAACAATACAACAAAAATCTCTTCATCCGAACCCAGGTGAACGAAATCTGTGAACGATCCCAGGAGGAATTTTCCATTAAGGTCTCCTAGACTGGAAAGCAAGGACGAAAAATCCGGATTCATCATGAAGACAAATCCCTCCTTAACCAATCTATTGTAAATTTTAGTCATCCTCACTAACATCAGACTAAACACCCAGGACTAATCAAGTCACTAGTCATAAGGAATCTCACAGATTGGTTCCCTGACCGCCTTAAAACCCAATCAACCTACTTACTTACTCACTTGGCCTGACGAAGCTTTTGTGTCAAAAGCAAAACGTTGCCCAGCAATAAATCCGCCGATTGTTTACCAAACCCCTCTGAAATGATGACTTCCCAATCGGTCCCAAACATTTTTCGATTGATTGAAGAACAATCTTCATTCTCTTTTCATTATCATTATTATCGCCACTGTTACTTAAAAACTCATCTGTCTAGAAGGCCTACACGTTCCCACCGGCCGCTGGCATTATTAAGTTAGATGCCGTCGAAATGCAGCTGGTCCCTATCTAACATCATTTGGAGAATGATTAGATTCTGTAGTTTGAACCGAGTTACCGGGTCTTTGCGAGAATTATGTGGTTCAACACAAAAACGAGCAGGCTACCAAAATGACTGTTTCTCACTGGACACACTAACCCTTTCGATGTCGAGACGGCGGATGCCTCGCTGTGTACCTATATGCTGAAGTAGTTGGGTGCAGGTATGCGTGTACATGAGATCACCCGATGCTGTGGATAGCATATTTGTCCTCATTATCCACCATCTTGACTGAGGTGGCGCAGATGGTTGGTCAGATCGAGCCAATGCGGATAACATCTGAGGACTCAAGACCAGAAAGTGAGTGCAAACAACGATAAAAGTGGCAGGAGATTATGCGTTTTCTATTTACTCACTTAGCTATTAAAACAAGACCGGTTAGGTGTGAAAAATCCATGAAGGAGTACGCAGATGCAGATCCTGTGCGATTGCTACTTACGTTCATTTTGCACATTAACCTACGTTGCGTACAGTCCAAAATTATAGTGACGATTATCAAAACTATTGTCACTTTGAAGAAACATGAACCATTCCTTGGATCATGGTGTAATTAGTGAGAACCGTTCAGACTAATCTTGTCGGTGTGAACTCGGTCTCGTAGAATCAAATCAAGACACGAACCGGAAACAATATCAATCAGGGCAGATAAAATAATTAAACCGATCGGAGGATTTCGCATCTCATGGTGTTTGCAGCCGTCTAAAGTGACCCGAACTGAACTGAACTACTTCTCGAGAATAATTTTCGAAATGAAATGACCTAATTTACAAGTTGTAAACAGGTTCACTTCTGGAAGGTAACTCTCCCGAAAACTCGCCATTCTGTTTACTGTTCGTGTGTTCTAATTAGCTCCAAGCTGCACCAAGTTCGGGTGACTGAATACCTTAATTAGCTCCGCTACTAAATCCAGTCGATGAAGCTGGAGTGGATCAGCCAACATGAAACATCCTGAATGTTGACTTTCCATGTTCATTTGCTGCCACGTTGTCCTGCGTGAGCAACAATTCATTGAAACTTGTGCAGCCATTAATAAATATTCGTGACTGATATCTTAATCGGCTCATTTTTGAAGTAGCCCAAACGATCGCAAATCTCGCGTTTGATAACTTGAACGACTGCGCAATGTACTATCTAGGTATTTAGCTACAACACGAACTCAACTGTTTAAGTGCAGTTGGTCGACATGACGAGAAGCATATAGTATCGTGAGTTGGTCAAAACATATAGGAGACGTGTTATGTTAAGGGCTGTAATCCAAAAGTACAAACTCTCTGGCCGTACTCGCCAAAAAACATACAAAGGCCGGCATGCAGATGAAAGTTGGCTGACCGTTTGTGGGCGAATCCCAGCCAATTTCGTGCTGAGCACGCCGCACATCGGTTCAGTGAAGGCTTGCTACCATTAACTCAAAGCGATGAATGTGCAGTTATACGCCACAGTTCAACAACTGCCTTCTTCGACGGTTCCTTATCATGGTGCTACGTCGTTTCTCACTCTGTTGCCCGACCGCAGACAAGGAAGGAACTATATAACCGTCTACATCATCGAGTCACGTTCTCTGAGTTTCTGTGCAAAATTAAGAACTGAACTCAGCCATATAGAACCATCAAGTTGCTCAAACCCTGAAATTAGCTCCCAAACCCCGAAAGCCTCAATATGATAGCTTTTATGTCAGAGGTTCGTTTTCAACGCGGTGCTGGACTAAGGCATTTTGTCATTTGAGAATGGGTTAACTCCACAGCCCCCATATCATTTGAACGACGGAGCAAGACGCATCCAGTTTTGCGCCCTTTTCAGAGGCTCAAATAAAACATCCATCACAGTGCACATCGCTGGTGCTTTAGTTATACAACGGACCACATGAATTTGATGTCTTAGCATCATAAGAAATTAAGAGGAAAGATGAACGCAAAAGGCATGCCGATATTCTACCGCAGCCTGGGTTAAAAAAACGATTAAAGCGCACGTTGTATCTAATTTGGTGTGCATCAACAACCGCAGTTAAAATGTATCCACAATTAGGCGCGACCAGATGACAACATGCTTTGCTTTGAGCAAACACCTAAATTATAGAACCGGGTAACCGCAGTTGGTGAGCAAGTAGTTTTCTTTTGGGTACTCTGGTTACAGTTGGAAAATGAATGCGGCAGCATGGGTGATTAGAAACAAAAAGAAACCACCGGTGATTCTTTGGTATTCATCCTGATATAAAGCGGCAACCAATCGCCAACTTTTCCATGTTGCCATCGCAGCATTAATGGCTATTCTGGGTCACTACTAGCCGATCGCACTTGATGACATAATACAGCTTTCCGTACCCAAAAACGTTGATAGTGGGAGGCAATATCCTGAAAAAGGATATTGGAAGAATCCCACACTCACCTTTAGTTGGAACAGAAGCTTGCGTTCCGAAATCGGTTGAGGTCGACTTCGAAAATCCCGGTTCAAAGGTAGTTTGTGTTCCAGCATCGATCTGCTCCGCACTACTTTGGTCTTCGACCTGTGTAACCGATACTTCTTCGGTCGTCTCCGCACGATCTGATTCGTCAGGATTTGTTGCTGGAGGTGAGGTTGGGAGGGGGCCGGAGGCATCCAATTTCTCCTCCATGAGTGGCTCCGGCGCTTCGTCGGGTAGGAATATGTTGCTGAAATGGATAGTGCAAAATACACCCGGTCATCCTTCAGTACTGCAAGATTTTGGACGATGCAACAGGTAGATGCTTTGATTTGATACGGTTAATCGTTCGACAGTCGCAGTGCATTATGTGCGTTTCCCTCGTTTCCCTTATTGTGTCGTGAACACTAGATAACGCCGGTCGTAGAAACACGTTTGGCAAGAACACTTAAGGTAGTTAAACTGAGAGTACGTTGAAACTGATAACAGAATAAACCAGATAAAATGTATGAAAAATGAGAGTGAGTGCATGAAACCACATATGATGGAGATCTATCATCGATGATTTCAATACCACAATGTATACCAACCGGAGACGCAGGGCACGGATATCCGTAGAAGACAACCAGTCGGATGAACCATTCAAATGGGGGAGAGTAATAATCCAGCAACGAAAAACAAAGAAAACTGGAGGGATTTGGGCGATTAATCATCGCAAATTAAACCAAAGATTTTTTAATGGCCTGAAACTCGTGGACCTAGGCTGCAGGTTGAAAAAATGTTTGTCGGCGTGACTGTCAGTCCGACATTCTTATAGAAGGTTTGTTTCTCTCAGCAAACTTATGGTAGCCTTCTTAGCTTTGATGACTTGCGTCTTGGAGCTCCACACAATTTCTCTTCCACGCTGGTCAGTGGATAGAAGTCCGAATCACAGTCCCCTGATCATCCAGCTTTAGGGTTCGAGTCGGCTGAGTGACTTGTCCCTTGAAAATTATACTACTGTAGTCGTATGTCGATCGGCACCCGCAGTCTTGTGGTCAGGCTTTTGAGTTCAACGTTTTGAGGACCTCGTCCTCCTGTCTTGCTATGGGCACCCTGACAGTATGCCAGCCGACATACAACCATCAGCATCAGAACTAAAATATTATCATGCCACACTGGTTGTCGCATGGTGTCTCCAGCCGGATAAACTTATTTGCTGTATACAACAAAGCATGTAGGCTAATCCCACCGCCTTCCTCCCTATACTTTAGCCTATTCCCTTTATCCCTTACTCAGCTTCAAGCTGAACACACTCTACATGGGGCCAACCACTTTGTTCGCCACGTATTATGCTCAAGTGAAGTGTTTCTATGTCGGATTTTACTAACAACCCAAAACTCTTCGAAGCCTATTTTCAAACCACGGGTGCCGGTATACTTAGTTTCCTTTGATCTTCGCACAATGAAGCCAGGAGAGCGACAAGTCACATTTGCTAGCACGTTGCATTCCATTTCTAGAGATGTCTGCTGCCTGTCAGAAACAGCAATCAGATTTGCTAGTATTGTAATTGAACTGACCATTCTCTCTCTCGTTCTTCTTGCTTCCAGGTGTGCAGCTCTGATGACACATAGGACTCTGCAACTGAGTAGGCCGGGTTAGGGGGTTGTGGTAAGCCATCGAGGGCATGCGTCTCTACTTGAGTGGATACCTGCTAGTAGTCGTCTCTGTGTCAATGCCGTGGGATAATCTCAAGAAATAGAGTCCTTTCGCTCCTTGCTTATTGTACCTGTTTACGCCCCGAAGAACGCTACCCTCAATTCATCAAAGACACGAGGCACACGGATATCGAATGCCTGCTTCAAATGTGTGCTAATCACGTACTGCTTCCTTGCATTACAAAGTTCCTGAGTAGCGTAAATCGCTCGACAATGTGGTGCGCACCAGCAGGGTTTAAACAGAGCACTGTGACCTAAGTTCCTGGTGGCGAGGGTTGATCACTGTCTGTTGCTTCTTCATAAAACCTGCGTGTGCTCCAATAATGCATTTGCTCGTTGCTGCTTTTCAGGTCTACGGAAAAAGTGCACTCCTCGCTCATCCGCTGATAAGCTTGCGAAACCAGAAATCAAACAGACTTATCAGAACCGGCTTTTCCAAATATTTTCGACTGGTAACATTTTGAACGGGAAAGGTCACTGAAGACGGGCCCTACTCAATGCCGAAACTTCTTTCTGCGGTACAAATTATTCAACTTTAACCAAGCACCGGATCTCTGATAGGTGGCTTGACGACAAAACCTCCTGGTGGCACCCACAACCCATCCCCACGCATCATCCGACGCCGGGGGAAACTGAGCGTTTTTGTAGACTGGAAAGCTTTGTGGATCCGGAGGGCTCAATTGGTAGAAGGTGCGAAAATTACCAGGAAATTCCGCAGGTTGCCCCACTTGATTCTTTCGACTGGCCCTCGAGAGCATCTTGCCAGCACCTAAATGACTGATATTCAGCATAGGAAAAATTCCGGACCTTTGGGCAGAATACTTCGAGCAAACATTCGGTTGGCCATCCGCTACCTCCAATTTGGACTTCTGATCTAAGACACCGAGCTAGAATGTAAGTATGGAGCTTCCTTACACTTCAGTGGCGTCCAAGTGTATGTATCATGCTTTTGGTTCTGACGATCTTCCATCGGCTCTGTTCATGGACGGCGGTGGGTTCTTTACCCAGTGCCTGTCTAGCCTATTTAAGTATGTCTGGAATAATGGGACCATCCTTCAAAAAAGGTACCCACCGTGGGTGTAGTCTCCACAGGGGTGTCAGTGTGACTCTCGTTGAAACAAGGCGTCACTGATTGTTCGTCGTATTACGGCAACACGGGTTAGCCTGCCCGACCAGGTAGAAACTGCATCGACCACATCTCCACCCTCTGTCAGTGTTAGAGCGACGTCATGTGCACAGACAGTTCACAACATTAGTGTTTTCCATCTAGAGGGTGTATTCGGGTTTGTTGATCGGTCAGCTTTCCAAAGGTCACTCGGTCAATAAGGGATGCCCCAGAAGTTTGTGGACATAATCCGGTGCTTGTGTTCACATGCTTCGGGGCATGTGAGTGTATTGGCAGCTCTCTACAAGCTTCACTGCGAAATATAGTGTTCTGAGGATGTCTACTGACTGCATACTTGTTGAACTTGATTATCCATGAAATAATGAGGCCAACACTGGAAGTTATTCAAAACCTTGGTGTTCAAATTGTTGCTGATGGGAACCTTGTTGAGTAAGAGGGCGTAGACAACACCCTGCTCATCTTTGAAGACAAAGACTTAGCACAAAATCTGGTCAATGTCAAACCATTTTTGCCCTGCACCTTGCACCTTCAAAATGCAAGCTCATGCTTCAAAACGTGTAGTCATTAACATGCCCCTCACGATTCAACGGGAAGCAGACTGGATACCGTGGAGAAGTTTACCTAATTCGGTGGTTGTGTAAGATCTGACAGAAATGTGTCTGATGACTCCAGTGCCAAAGATCCGAAGCATGTTTTTTAATTCGCCTCCTACGCGGCATCAAAAAGGCATATCGCTGGGTCTCATGGGTGGCGTACACCCGGCTAGAATAAGGACCATACTGTTTTATGGTTGTTAGACATGGCTTCTGCAGAGGTGAGAACTGAGAAGTCTTCAGCTTTTCGAACATCTATATCTAAGGGACGTTAAGGATGTCTAGTGGACAACGAATTTGTAACGAGGCAACTAGAAAACGACCATTTGTTTGTGCGGAGGGTAATTTATTAACAGAAAATGTTCAGTACCGGCAGGCGTGGTGAATCCGCCATGTGCTACACATGTCGGAACATCGTCCACCGAGACCAGCGTTGCCCTGATGATGATGACGTTTAAAAATCAATTCCTTTTAATCTATTACCACTTCCAATAAGCCCGTATGTGCAAGGAGTATTCTTTCCTGAGACAAAGCACGTTTCCTTTTGGAATCCCTCCTAATTGTGTATCCGTTCGAATACATGTTTCTAGGCTTAGTACTTTGTCATTTGAATACCAAAGGCTAACACATCGTGTGTTATGGCTTTGAATACGGCCAAGCACCACCAATTGGGGATCAAGGGTCGTACTAGCTGCCAAGAGCCTGTTTGCAGGTCGAAGTCCGAAGGACCACATGTTCTTAGCAGTAGGGTGTGAGAAAGCAATTAGGGATCGAGAACATCGGTCGCAGCGAATGGTCGTTACAGGAATCATGGTTCTGGGAGATTTCAGTAAGAAGAGGGCCACAGCTGCTTACTGAGAACCGGTAAATTCAACTTAACCAGCCAAATCTTGAGGTAGATGAACCTCAAAGATGGCAATACCGTACCCTTTAAATTGTAACGTTACGAGCAAACGAAGATAACTATAACAGTGAAAAAGATTTCAGCCAATCGATTGCCGATAAGGAAACGGACGTGTACGAGGTTGGCCGCTAAAAATCACAATCTTTCCGATCTAAATGAACCTGATATTCCAGTCGGTTTAGTATCAGTGTCTATCAGGGCTGTTTTCTTCTCTGATTACAAGACATGACAGGATACTGTAGGCGATGGGACGGCGGAATGTGATTGATGCTTTATGTGACAAAGATCGATCACCCACTCTCGAGGGATTGTCTTTTCGTAGTTAGCTGCCTAGACTATGGATATTTTGATAACAAACCTTAAAAATATCAATCCACACTGTGTGTGATTCTTGTACACATACATGGCATACATATTTTCACATGGTGCCAAAAATATGGCGGTAGGGCCTTGTTGCCGGTACCGCTTCAAGCTTTTGGATTGTTTCATATTGTCTGATGTTACGTTCTCCGGGGAGGAACGCTATCGTTATGCCTATTGACCCTCAACATCTTGTCATATTGCGCTGCTTCTTCCTGGTACTATCAGCTAAAAATCACTTCGTTTCTTCATTTTCACTGAGTTGTATGCAAGCATCACACGGCTTGGCTGACATACGTAGCACGCGAACTCATCGGGGTGGCGGGCGTGGTAAAGAGTTCACCTCTAGAGGTAGACTGGACAAACCTAGGAGCCAGCTGCACCCTGTGTTACTCATTGTTTGTTAGCACCAGAAGCGAGCAAAACTCACAAAATCCGGTTCTTTATAGACTGAGTGCATGTCAATCACGAGTTGACTAAGTTTCGCAAACCTATACCTTGAAACGTGTATCGTACTGTGAATTCTTCGCTTCAACGAAAAACTGACATCTGAATGCCACACAACGTGACGTTGGTTTGCGAATGTTATCTGGTAGCATTCGTAGGGATGTCGGTTGCCCGATACCTCATCAGGTGTTATACGGTTTCTAAAATACAGCACTTGGTCAACTCCCAAGCTTTCAGTGATCGTAGACAGTGTCTGTTGTGAGTTCTGACAAAGTACTTCGCACTGACAAAGTGCAAGTGTGGGATGCGAAGTCATGCTAAACCGTCCAACGGTTCTGTATGACGGTATGTGGTATCACCCGGTAAGGCGATTTCTTGAGCACCATATGTTACAAAAAGATCCAGTACACTTGACGCCCCTTCAACATCCATATTAGTAAATTAGGTTGAGCAACCTCTATATCTGCCTACGTCACAGGGTTGAAAGTTCGGGAAGAAAATAGTATCTGCACAAAGTAGGGACATCATCTGTTGGCAGGGCAGGGAAACCGCTTTTGTTTTACTGGGTTTCGCTGAAAGTCGAAAAGGCTTTCTGTCAACTTTGGACGCCTCTGAACAGAAATCGAGACCGATTTGCATAGTAAAATCAGACGATAATATTAAGAAAGAGAATTGTTTGAGTATTTTGTCTTTAGTTGCATATTGGTTTACTATCTTGACCGGCAAAATGCCTCCTCCAAGGCTATCTCACTGTTCCAGCTAGAAAATGAGCAAGGGAATCCATGGAAAGTCGACTGATTTCCAAGCTTGGTAAACTGTTCAACTGTCACGTAATCGACAGTTGATGAGAACACCTGTGAAGGTTTACTACTATCTTGACCGACAAAATGCCTCCTCCAAGGCTATCTTACTGTTCCAGCTAGAAAATGAACAAGGGAATGTATGGAAAACCGACTGATTTCCAAGCTTGGCAAACTGTTCAACTGTCACGTGATGAACAGTTGATGAGAACACCTGTGAAGGTTTACATTTCTTACCAATGGAATTAGTAACATGTAAACAGTGGCCTTCGGAAAGTGGAATTTCAATCCACGCAGACCTACTTCAGGGAGAGTTGTTCCACTTCCAAAATTTCGTGGATTTCTTCATCGTCCATGGGTTTTTTCACAGGAGTTACGACATCCGCGGGAGCATTTTCTGGATCGACTGCATTGGGACCATTTGCAGGAATAGCTAAATCCACCGATTCAAGACCAACTGGTGTTCCTAGCGAGCGCACTCTTTTCGATCGTTTATTTTTACGATGTCTTGTGCGTTTCTTACGCTTTTCCCGTTTACGTTTTGGCGACTGCTCATCTTCAGAACTTTCTGTGTAAGGAATAACCATATTTTGTGGCTGTTGCTGTTCTTTTTGCGGTTCCTTTCGTAACTNCTGGTGAACTTGTTGTTCGTGTTCTTCATCACCACGAGTCGAACGTCTGCTTGTGTGGGTGCTGGACCGGCGGGAGTCTGCCGAATCGGAATGCGAGGCACTGACATTCTTTCTGTTAGGAGGCGAACAGGCTTTCACTGAAAAATTAAATATAAAAAACAACAGGGCATCAAGCGAAAACCTTCCTCAACGCTCAAAATATAGTAGGGGAACAAAAGTTTGGCGATCATGGATAAATCAGTTGTAATTCACCCACGTTGCTACATATCTCGTTGCACCCGACCTAACCAGATTTCGATATCGGGTACAAAATTTGGGGCACTGAATGACAGCAACTAGAAGTCCGCTTAAAACTGATAGCTTTGCCAGAAACGTACTCAAAAATTTAGTCCGTCTGCCAGTGAAGGCTAAATGCAGCGCAAATGCGTTACTCACTACCAACTTATTGAATTTGTTTGTGATACGCGCCACTGAATAAACATCAACCAGATTGCTAGGATGAAACCTGGAAATCGAGCCGTTGTATCCTGACTTCTAACATTTCGTCTTTACAACAACCTGACTTGATGAACGGTTGTTTGCGTGAACATCTCCAGTTCTCTCCATCAGTACAGTCATAAGCTTCACGTGCGGAGTTAGTTATTATGTTGTGATTCAGGGGTAAACTACCCAAAAACACCGGACTAAGAATTGAAAAAGGCAGCTTTAAAGCATAACCAACGTGCAAGGTGAAGTGGACCATAGATCCTGCAACGAAATAGAGGTATTATTTGTCCCTGAAAAGTGGAATACAACTTATGAACGTGCGACTAAAACAAGTAAAAAAGTCAGCAAAGTGTATGTAATCCTGATATATCTTGGAGTTGTGACAAACATAAACTGTCTCGTGCTTTCGTTAGAGGCTAAGATCACTGTATCCGCATTGCGACGAGGTGGCCAACAGCCTTCATCCTCCGTGGTGTAGAGCGAGGATCTCAAAACATGGCCCACTGCCACTCGGAATGGGAACGAAAATTAGTTTTCCTCTACAAGACAAAGTGCAACCGCTTTCGGTTGTCATAATTCATCCGAGAAACCAAAGAAAAATCATCCATTTTGTAGCCTTTGTAGGTAGTCTTAAGTTTTCCACGAAATTTGTAATGAGCGTTTGTACCCTGGATCGACAGACATACTCTGACAAGACAGCTACCTAACCCAATAAACTTCATTCAGTCTAAATTACTGAGATAATCAATCAGAAGAGCTCAAACACAGCCGATTTCAAGTTTTTTTAGAAAGAGTTGTGAATACTTTGGTTTCCTTTTTTTTCGGTTTAGTGGCTCGGAATTGGTAGAGATACACAACGTCCTTGTTAACTCCGAAGTATGGTTGATCTGTTGGCGCCAAAGAATGAGGAGGGAACCTTTTGATTTATGACGTATGCTGTGGATTGCTTGAATGACTAACCCCATTTGAAGAACAGCTTTAATTTGAAAGCCTTACTCATTTTTTTAAAATTTTAGGACAAAATTATCCAGTGTCATTTCGTTCTTTCATCTGCATCATTAGGACCACAGTAGGATGCGGTTTCCGAAATTGGTCGGTTTGCAAGTTTTCGATAGCAACTCTGAGGAGACTGGACTTAAAACTGATCTATTTGAGTGCAAATGAAGTATTGAAGGGAAAATGCAGTTAGAGACTTCCGTGAGTTTTAGTGGGAATCACGAATTTAGGGCGGATAGAGAGCTCCGATAGTCTCAAGAGATTTTTTTTAAATAGGAAATTCGTGGAACTTGTTTACCGCACTGGGTTGAGTGACGACTTACTTAAGTATACCTTAGTGCTTAAGTTATGCATAATTCAAGAAGCTAAGTTATCGGTTTTACACAGTTTCGCTTGGATTACGGAGCTATGGTGAACTAGCGAGTCGTTAACCTATTAAAAGCTCTCTGGAACTTTTTACGTAAAAAACTGAAATCAGTACAACTGATTTAGATCACCACAATAAGACCAGCAATTCGGAATCAAAATACATGATGCTCCACCCAAAACGGACAACTGCTTTGGTATTTGAGCTAATTATATCGATAAAACCTACAAATAGCGCAACCAGCTAAATGTCTGCCTTGGTACGCATTACGAACCAAACTTTCCCACTAACTGTTTAAAGTAAAACGGCGTTCTAAACAGCTGAGTGTCGGATTCAAGATGATCTTAATCAAGTTGCTTGCGTTGTGAACTGTGGTGAGTTGAGACACTTCTCAACAGAATGTCTGAGCTTTTCTGGAAAAAGTTTAGTTGTAACATCCCTAAAGTTGCATTCCTTTACCCCGGAAATTCGCATCTGTCCTTCGATTCTGGATCCGACAATCCATTATGCGATGGGTATGTCGTTTTTGATGGTTAGTTGCCACCTTCCGTTTCATCTACGCCTCTCAAAGTGGTTAGACCCAAACTATGATCAACCCGACCTTGTTTATCGACTCATATCCACTTCATAATATAACCTAACTTAAGCAGTACGTGCGGTCAGCTTGGCGATTAAAAGGCTGATACTTTTTAGAATGAATTAAGAAGGCGGCATGTATCCTCACATTTATTTTGTTTTCATGCTAACACTCGCTCAGTATATTACCAAGCAGAAATCTTGGAATGGAGATCAAGAACAGCCGCATTTAGTTTCTTGTAATCAACTTTCATCGTCAAAGATGCGACTGATGTATCATATAAATTGTACATGTTATAACTGGCTCGCACGCTCTGTGTGCACTTGGGAATGGGAAATGGGATGTTTAGTAAATTGAATTGAGGTAAACAAGCAAAATTTAGCGTTGTGGCACAGTAACCCTCTTGGGTCCTGTTCTTCCGCTTTGATGAGTTGGCGGGTTGAGCGAACTTAATATCATAATGTAAGTTGTAGGTGATTGTGGGATTGTTGTTGGCACAATTAGTCCGGTCAGGCCACATCAGAAGACGTGCACCAGAACTACCAGGATACAATCAGGACAGTTACTGGGTCGTCGTCCGAGGCACTGGGCGGGCCGAACATATTACTCAAGCGTGAACAGGTTCGCCCGTTCAGACATGATAATTTGGGAGAATCCGAGGCGTGTAATGGAGTGGTTGGAACGCGCTCGCCTAGAATGTCCGACGTCCAGAGTGCACAACCCGCAAGACCAAGGGTGCATACCGCTAATGAGCTGAGCTCCAACCAGAAATCGAGTTTGAAACTTCAAGCTTTTTGGTGTGGATTCATCAGAATACTTCCGCCAGGACAGCAGAAGGACTGTTCTGTTCAGAATGATGTGAACTTGAGCGCTGTTACTAGCTCCACTTATACGACTAACAACAAAGCGTTTATATGCTGACTTTCTGCAGTAGTGAGCTCTAGGAGAACTTCATTGCACTGATAAGAAGCAGATCTAGGTAAAACTGGTTTACATCAAGGCCGAAAAAATGTCTACACTAGTTTCTAATCCAAAACACTGAAACAATCCTGATCCGCAATTACATCTCCATACGTCGACCTCAAGAACGGTGAATGTATAATCGAGTTGTTTTTCATTGCGATGCTGTGGAAAACTGAAGCCGAACTAAGCCAAGCGTGCATGTTAAACTGCATTGCATTCGGCTTCGAGGATGGAACCACAAACAAATCTGACAGCTGATCCAAAGAAAGCCACTTCACTGCATTATATTGCGACTTACCACAGCCAGCGGTAGCTGATAGCGGGTTACGATATGAAGGAACGTGACGTGTTGGCAATATTCTTATATGGTCATATGAACAGTGTGCAATAAACTCCCATATATGTGCAGAAAATGAACAGCGGACGGTTTTGAACCCGATGGTCAGGTTAGTAAAATGATACAAAATACTGCATGGTCTCAATAAAAAAAATTTGGATCCCTAATGGGAGGTACCTCAGTAACCCGTGAGTGCGGGAGGCCTCAAAGCATCTTATGATCTGAAGTGGTGAAAACGTCAACACCAGCCGACTTCACATGATGCAGGATGAGTATCTTCTTTACTTCCGTTCGGCCAATCAACCCGGTGAGGTGAACTAGTCCGTAGCTGTCTCGTTGAACGACTCATTTAGAGATTAATTCTGGATGTCGCCCCTGATCTTAGTTTGATGGAACGGCCCTATACTTTGAACACTCGGGTTATTCCTTTTGAAAATAAATATGTCGATGGAAGGCAGTACATCCAGCACTATTCTGAAGAAGGTACAAGGATCAAGATTTGGCTAAACATTCGAATCACGACTCCGCTGCCTCAGGTTATGGCCTTTTTCCATGACAAAATTGTCTGTCATACCAACAAACACTACTAAGCACCCAAGTACGAACCTGTTCACGTCTTCACAAAACTGCAATGGTTCCAAAACACTGATGAACAAACGCCATAAATAGGCCCCTTTTAGAGGCAAAGTCCCACAGTCGTGCAGTAAAAAATGAGGAAAGTGTAACACAGATCATAAAAACAGAGGCTTAGTTAGGCAGTTCAACAAACCATAATTAGTCGGATTGTTTTTGTCTAGTTAATTATGGATACTCACGGAAAACCCACTAATTAACAAACCACGGGAATGACCAGATGTCGTTAAGAGAGACAATGCCACACCTGGACAAGTTAAGCCTCTCGAGGTGTTCTCAAATAAAACTGCATTGACAAACTGGTCATGTGATACTCAACATGACTTTCCTAGACTGCTGATATGAGAACCAAGCCTCCACCTACCAACTCTGTCAATTGATATTTGTCTGGGGTCGTCTGGTAGGCGTGGCTTTCGAACTCCAACCAATCTTCTTCCTAAAATGCGAAACTTTTTACCAAAGAGGGTGTTGACCAATGTAACCACCTGATTACTGGTGCGTAGCTTTATTTATCTCACAGATAATCTTGTAACTTAACAGTAGTATGGCTAGCTCTTGGTATTTTAATGAGAATTTTCTTCTGTCTCCTGTGCTGAAAGGTTTAAAGACAACGCGCAACTATTTAATCCTTATCAGAAATCATCATAAGTGGACATCCAACGAACCTGTGTGTGAGTTCGAACGCGCAACCTTCCTGATATTACTTACTCACCAAAACGTTTAGCCACTATCGGCTGGTCAGTAGCGTTATTGACTCACATTTGGACAGGACAAAGTGCCACTCAGCCTCCATTCTGATAATTTACGATCGTGGAGTGACAGATACCCAAATGGGTGGCTTGTGAGGCGTTTCCCCTTTTTCAGAAGGTCGCCTACAGAGTGATAGTATTATGAGGGGATTTTGAGAAATTACACTAAAATATAGTATGGTATGCTTAAGCGTAGTATGTAACTCGATTGGAGTTCGCGGGTTTAAACCTCCCCAGATAATCTTGAGAAGCGCACTTCTGATGATTTCCATCACTAATGAAACAGCGTTTTGTGCTCCAAGCAGATGACACAAGGCGTCTTTGAAGGTACTTCTTGCGAATGGTCTCGATAACAGAGAGTTCATCAGACAAGCTCAGTCAGACGACAAGTGTCCAGAGCTCTGGGATGAGGAAGCCGTGACCGATTCCTCTCGCTACTGGCGCTGGATCAACATGTGTTAAGTTCTTCTTTCCTTGAATGGTTCCTGCTTGCCCCTCGGTGGATTGGACGAGGCTGAGTTCGGTTTCGACCGCATTGTGCCTGACTTTAAGACTAAGATCTCGCTGTTTCCTTCACAGTTTGCTGTCGTCAAGATCTGTATATCAACATTAAGGTATTTTAAGTGTCGCAAGACACCATGAATCAAGCATTTGACCTGAGCGCGTAACCGCAACCAAGCGGCAGCGAGGCTGAGTTCGATTTCGACCGCATTGTGCCTGACTTCACGACTAAGGTCTCGCTGTTTCCTTCACAGTTTGCTGTTGTCAAGATCTGTATATCAACATCGAGGTATTTTCAGTGTCGCAAGACACCATGAATCAATCATTTCACCTGAGCGCGTAACCGCAACCAAGCGGCAAGGTCAGGGAGTCAATGGCTACCTACAGAATGAAACCAGTTAATAAGACCTTATAGATAACTGGTCATGGGTTCCAACGTTTCCGGATAACTCAGAGGAAGACTCAGAGGCTAGACATTGAAAACCTCATCCCAACTTACTAGGTGGACGTAAGGGAATAAGAATCCGTAGCAACCGAGCTGCCTACCGGGTCCATTTACTCCTATAATAAGTCCCAACGAGGAGGAAAGCTCTCACGTGGATCTACTTTCTGGTATCTCCGTCATTTGCTACCGAAATGGCTGAAAATATTGGGTTGCTCGCACAACCACTAACCCACCGCTTCGCACCACTACGCTCCTCAATAACGCACTGATGATCTCACCTCGACTGGTGGTGAAGTGTTTGCAATCAAACTGCCCAGCTCAGCGAACAAGCCAACGACCAGATCAAAACAACTTGAGGTAACCTCTGTCTTCACACAATAGTCAACCAAAGTCTATCGCAAAGAATCCTTTAAGTTGCAGCCCAACCGACATTCAAGATATCGAGGTTCTGTTCATTGTGATTAATGTTAGGTGACTAAGCATATTTTATCTCTGTACCGAGTTTGTAGGCAATGAGTTCAACAACTATGATACTTATTAATACAAACAGACCTCGAGTAAACATTATCGTTATTTTTCCCAACTAACTGTTGACCTGGATACCCGAGTTAACCTGTACTTGGTTTTAGTAGGTTTCTTCCAGTAGTGATTCATGTCTGAATCGTTTGGGCTTTGAGTTTGCCAAAGTAAAATCCGATAAAGATAGCCTGTTTAAAATACACCGCAACAAACAGTGACGGATGAAAATACTTAGAAGCGTGATGTTTCTCTTCAATAGCTGCACGCTTAATCCGCCGAACGGAAGCCCGTTGGTCGCCAACAGAAAGACTGACTGGTATCCACACGAATTGGGTATAAAATCGACAAGTACGGTCTGCTGAGAGTCAGCACTAAAGCACCGCGACTAGCAAGACGCTTAAAGTGTCACATGATGACCACCTGACCAAATACAACATCGTCTTGAGTAGGCATGGTTGACGTGTGCCTAATCATACAGTCGGCAGCATGTAGTAAACTTGTTTGCAAATCGCGTGTTACTGGTCGGATAACCAAAAGCTTTCAGTGCAATGGTGCGCAAATAATGCACCGTATAACTAATTTGGCGAGCATTTTGGGGATATGATACCCGAGACAGGTGCGATCTTTCGGTCAAAGTGAGGGACTTACAGGCTGCTTCCAGCACTTCTTTCTCTCCTGAGACTTCGTCGTACTCGTATACCAGTTGTGTTGCTGGAGGCGCTGGTTGCTCCTTACGTCCATTGACAGCAGACCTACAGGACGCCGGACTTGAGCTTGAACTTGAGGAGCAAGAACCACTGTCTGAATGGCTTGACTTAACCGGTGAACGACGCCTAACGGGTAGCGGTCGGGGTGGACTTCGACTGGAGTCACTGGAGGATGATCCACGTCGATGGGGACTGGAACATGTGTACGAAAAAGGTGTAGCGATAAACAATACACAGGGATAGTTTTGACTACGATGATATTCCTGTCAGGTACTGCCTCATGATAGTTGGTGAAAATAAAGCTCACAACTTACTCTGAGCTTAGCAAACCGAGAACAAACTTCAAAAATTGTGAACTGTGAAAATTCCGACGCAACATGTGTCATGTAGGTTTAGATACAACTATGGAGGTTTTCGCTGGGTGAGGAAATCGTTCAAAATCTCAATCAGTTCTAAAATAATGCTGGTTGTTGAATCGCTTGAAAAGTACTGACAGAGTGATAAAAAGTAACAAGCGGCTTTTCTTAAGAAAGTTCTGCTAGTCAAACACGGTCGGTCGCGTGGGTGTGTGCGAAGAAGAGAAAAATTGTGGAAGGTTACCTTTCACGAAAGTGGGTGGCGTAAGATGTCTCATCTGTGGCATTTCTGTGGCTGTCAGAATATCCCTGTACCAACTAAGGCGAAGGTAGAACATACAGATGACAGATACTCGACGGCTGAGAAAAATGGGAAAAGATCTACAAAGTTTTGGTCCATGACTGCATGAAGAAGGGTAGCAATAGACGGGTTGTATTTACTTGCGAAGCTCATCTGAGTAAATCCAGTTGGGTGCTTATGGACTGGCCCCTGAGCTGGATTCTGTGCTAGGTGATCAGACGATTACTCCTAAATTCTCCCTGTCCTTACGGATGGTGTTATAATCCTCAGGAGAAAGTACACAGGTAATAACCAAAAACAGAATGGATCGGCTCATCGTTTAGAACAAAACATGATTGTATCAGAGATATCTCAAATAAACGAAATTACAACAAACTATAGGAAATTAAATGTCTACCTTTTAAACTTACTCGTGCCATTAGAAACCTGTCCAAATCAACTGTATGACAAAACATTGCCTACCTAACACGCCACACCGATTAGCATCAGAATGCACATCTCCCCAGATGAGAGTTTAGTTCAAATTTGACACAATCGAAGTTATACATTGGTCACCAACGAAGAACGAAATAGAATAACTAGCAACCTTGTTTACTTACCTTCGTTTTATATTCCGCCCTCTGTCCAACGGATTGAAAGTAAAGTAAACACACTTGTATTATTAAAGAGCCGTCCATTCCTGCATCACGTGACAAAAACTGAAGGTTGTAAAATTTTCGTTGTGCGCAGACTGATTCATATATATGTAAATTATAGTGCCACACCAGCCGAATAATGTTGAAAGTTTGGATAGAAAAAGGCCTAGTTTAATCGGTTTTGGAAGCTAGACATTGATTCTGTACATTGGTTTCATCCTTCAAAAGTGCTTATGTATATGTCACAAACGGCACCACTTAGAATCAACACACAGTCGTCAAGTGGGTTAGCTCTTGGTAATTTTATAAAGTAGACTGGTGCAGATTGTCCCATAAACTGAGCATCCGTCTTTCGAGATGCGCCTGATCCCAAACTCGTCAAAGGCAATCTCTCCCAATAAGTTTTCAAACTGCTCCTCTTTTACCTGTTAGACTCAAATGCAAACAGCACTAAGTGCAATGCAAATTACTGTTAGCTCATTCTGAGTAAGACTGGAGTAGAACCTCCCCAGTGTATTTTACTAACAGGTTTGTTCAGATACAACAATAAGAAATCGAAAGCAGCAAGGAAAGTCCTCTTCGGTGATGCAAAAACTTTGTTTTCCCAACGGCCTACATCACGGGAGAAACAACCGCAGGAAAGTTTTGTGGTCCCCTGTTGTCCAGCCTGTAGGCGCGCTGGGATCGGTAACCTCATGAGCGACAGAAACCACGTTGGGGACCATGTTTGTGTGCAATTGTGCGCATATCACTATCAGCTTGTAAACGCTCAATAAAGACAGCAAGTGAAACCGACTTTTATCCGCAAAAAAATGAAACCACTTATGAAACAGCAATTTCGATATTTCGAACCACTAGCACCAAATGCACAGCCTGCTCAGGTATGTGAACTATTGTTTATTTATTTCTTTATCATTTATTTAGTGGAAGATGTGCCAGTTACGCACCCACGCTTTGCATAAAAAATATGCATATTACTACCAGGCTGTTAGTATTTAACGTTTGTGTTTACAACATCTCCTGTCTCTTTCATCAGCAGTGGTGTCAGGAAACACTAAAACGGTTTTCGCGAGTTTTTTCAGATAGGATGACTGCTACAGCCTTTTGTTAAAAACGATGTATAGATGTACGCGATAACTTCAGATTTTGTTTATTTAGTGGATCATTTTTCCGCCAATTAATCTCATAATCTCATGTACTACTAGGGGTCCTGTTAAATACCACGACTGCCGTAGACAACGAGGAAAGTCATTGATAGAGCAAGGAAACCGAACATAAAGCAGATTTAACTTTACCGATAACCTGGAAAACTTTATAAAAGAACGTTTACAGTAAGAATTTAGCAACCTCGTCTCAAGAATACGATAATATTAAACAGAATGAGGATTCTCGCTACAGCGTAGTTCTTTTGTGAAGTTGAAAGCCTTACAGAAACAAAGTACGAATATTTTGTCAGAAAACTGCTGGAAGGCATAGTATTAAACACATAGATGAAATTTATTTGAAAAGGTAAACAAACATTAGAGTGTTTTGTTTTGTTGTTGCTTGCATCTCAAACGCTACAGGTGAAGTAGCCTGAGTTGAGCAAAAAACTGGTATACAAGAGCCTAACGTACACCCTAAAATTTACCGGCGCGAAAAGAAATAAATATTGGAGGCTAAGTCGAGGTGAGATCGTTGTCCATGGTGGTAACCTTAGTAAATAAAATCATGTTACGCACTGCCCCTCCGATGAAACGATCGCATGGTACCTGGGAGCCTGAATAAAAGCAGCCGCCTTAAGAAATGCGGTTTGCATGGCAGTGGTGAGCACACGTACGCAGGTGCTTGCTTAAGCAAAAACAGTGAAGGTCTGTTTTTTGAAATGACAGCTGGATGTTCTCGTGTGCGTAAAACCCACCCTGCTCAAGGCAGTTACTCATCCTCCATCCTGAAGACGTTGATATTTTTGCGCGCTATAAAGCAAGGGCCAACAAATTGGTCGATAAAATACCATTAATGGAAAAATATAACCAGAACTTAGGTTTTATGTTCTCTGTCTTCAGATTTTGAGTCCGCGGCCACGGTGTCAAAAAGGACACTGGCACTCTCCCACTTGGGTACATCACTCAAAATTGGTTGGTTTTGTGCTATGAGTTTGCATGTTTCCTGACCACTTTGGTCCCCAGACCATTGAGTATATCCATTTTATTTTCATCTATCGTTGGAATTTGTGCAGGATATCACATATAACCATCGAAGCAGTGCTGCTTAATATGAAGAATTCCACCTGACTAATAATTTTATGTGACTGGCTCATAAGTTCCGGCGGCAAGCTACAATCTTCCAAATTTTCGTGTGTTGCTTTTGCGGGGGCATGGCTGTCACGTCATTGCAGTATGATCCTACACTAGTCCTCTTTCCAAATGTGAGGAAATTATTCTCTGGGACAAGTGGTACAAGGTAAACATTTGCAGAAGTCAAATTCATATACTAGGAGAAGAAATGTTTCTTCCTGTTTTACAATGCTGGTTTCATATCGTTTCACTAATCCAAGTGATCTGAGACACTTACCCCGAAGACGATCTGTTTTAACACGAGAGATTTGTAGCGGCACAAATCACTATACACCGCGTTTGAACAGAATGATCTCTATGAGGAAGCCGCCAGTCCAAAAAAGATAACATTCTTGCGTTTTCTCGTATTACTCAGTTTAGCTCGGAGCGCTTCTTGTTTTCACAGGATAACTGACACGCTTAACTGCAAAATAGCTACATAACGCAACTAGAAAACGTCCACATGCCACAGTTTTTCAGTATTTTTCATAAATTCAGGAAAAGAAGATTGTGTGTACATAAGACGAATGTAACCAGCGAATTAACAAGGATGTTTTCTATCACCCGCTTACGGAAGTGGTGTCGCCCACGGGCAGAATCGTAATTTTTAAGGCTTGCGGGAAGGGCCTGGTGTTCCACTTGATTACTCCTGTTGCTTTACATTATATTTGATACACATATTTGGAACAATAAACTCGAAAGAAGCCCCCTGTTTCTTCGGGCTTGTGTTTTTCTCAATCACCAATTGTCTTTCGCCTAACTAAAATGGAATTAAAACTGGCACATAAAGCTCCTTCTCTAGAAATTACTGACTCAATGATAAAATGTAATAAAGGTGGGCCATTTTATGCAAGAAGATCATGAAAGTTTGTAGTTCTTCATCTGTCAGGCATTAAGCCCAACCCAGAGCAGGCTGGAGCAAACTATTTAGCCCATCTGAACATGTAGTCGATTTCAATCAAGAATACTCCAAGTAAGTGGGGAAAATGAGATTTTATAAGATATATCCGTCTGACAAGCCAAGATAACCATCCACTTTGTCGATAAATTATAATGTAAGCGTAAGTAACACACCAACATATGATGTGATTTAGAAGAGACAACTAGATTAACCCAACAGGAAAGGTATTTTTCGCATACCATGTTAGGAAAAACAAGAATGAATGCACGAAATATTGAAAAACTGCGATAACTTTATATGTTGTCACACTGGATTTCATTAACGTGAATGCCATGGTAAATTCTCCTCCTCCGTCTTGTGCCTTACTGATTTTTTTAAGTGATGGTTCTCTTATCCGAAGGGGATTGAAACCACCATATTCTTTGGTGCCACTACACCAACATATCTGTCGCTAGCATTGATAAAAGTATTTAAATGCACTTCCAGAGTTACCGGAAAATTGCTGTGTTAAATTCATCTAAACCAAGCTGCTAAAGGTGAGGTTAGTATCTTATAGAGAAGCGAGATACTGCTAACTCATGAATATCTACGTATCAGGGAAGCTCTGTTAGTTGGATTGCGCTTGATTTGTAACGGCAAAAAACAGCCTCAAGTGTTTTGGTACGGACAAATCAAATAACGTGTTTGAATGCACATCTGCACGTAGAAAAGGAAGTATTACTGCCATAATTCAATATGCTACCGTGTAATACGTGTTCAAAATGAAACGTGAAGTATTTGCGCGGCTATTGTTAATCCTCTACGAGACAAAACAAAACATAACGTTACTTAAATCAACCCTTTGCATGCCAAAAGCCTCAGGTAATTGTATAACAAACGATTTATGCATTAACCTGGCCCCAACGCGTGATACCAAGGGCAGTCATGTCTTCTATCTAACTCAAGGTTTTGAAATACGCTTGTGGTGCCAAGTAACACGAGCTTCCACTTTTGATAGGTTGTATCCTTGCGAAAAGCAGAGAAAACAAACGTGATTGAGTTGTCTGTTGGATATCGATCACAATAGACACACGAGTTCGTCTATGGATAATACAACTATATGATAAAGCATGTATTCTAAATGTAAGAATGCCTATATAGTTGTACCACTGTAAATAGACACACCTAAAATGAACCATACAACGTCCTTTGCTTATCAAATAGCCTGATGTAAAAGGAGTTCCGAAATGTGCTTGCTTTAGTTATAACCTAGTGTGTAAAGACTGGTACTGTTGAATAAATGAGCACGCGAGTTTGATATGAAAAATAATGCAGTAAATTGCCGACCAATACACACTATCACAGAACGTCCGTGCAGCCAGTTCAGTGTGAGGTAACTAAACAAAATGCCCAGACAGTTGTCTAACCAGTCAGTATTACATAAACATTTTTGTTTTTATGAGGCTGGAGAAATACCTGCCACCCCGGGTGCTTGCATGATACCTCCTGCTGGCTTATAGATACATCCAGACATTCTCTTCTAAATGAGTCCTTCGAGTTGTTTGCAGTCGTTGATATGCAAGACGCTTGTTGTCTTAACAGCCTTTGTGGTTTTGTTTGTTCCAATTTACAGTCGTATTATCCGGGCATCCACTTCTGGGAAACCAATCTTGACTTACTATCAAGGCATCATTTGGATGGCTTAACAGTAAACCAGAGGTTTTCCACTGTAAGCCTTGTATTATTTTTTTTTCGGTACGAGTGCTCTAATTCTTTGCATACAGGACTAAGGGACCATTCAATGAAACTGTATTGTCACGCAAACTACTAAAAGGGAGATACTGTTTACGAGACAACTGGGCTGCAACAAGGTGCAGTTTGCACAATCCTCGCCGTAAATATCGACTAACATTTTCATTCTAGCTTTCTTCCTTGTCAAGAGTGGAACAGTAACAAATCTACCCAGTTGTCCTCTCGTACTCTTTGTTGGTAGCTATTAAGCCGGTACCCAAGCATTTGCCGTGTCGGGACTGGAAGCACATATTAGATGCGTTATCCAAACAAGACGCGAATTTCTAAAATAATCAAGTAAATTTTAGTATAAGAGTTTACACATTCTTTTGAACGCATTTATGGCCCTAGGCGCCAAGCCATTCAATGTATCATTTGCTTTAATAGCAACGCACAAGATCAAAATTGGACGATAGCGTATGTATTTCCAGAGGGCTTCCGTAAAACAACCTAAAATATTCTCCGGGCTTTTCTCTCTAAATAATGCACCCTAAGAGCAGACGCATCAACTAGTTTACTAGATATATCACACACAATCACCGGTCATAATGCTAATTTGCTAAGTTAGTGGCAGCGCATCTTTGACGTTGCCATTCTATAACAGTGCACCTTGGATCTGCTTAAATGTACTGCGTGTAACATTGCACTTCTCTGTGTTGGGCATTATGTGTGATAAAAATAAAAGTTTATGCTGTTGAGCCACTCTCCCAGCGAAACCTGGCATTCACCTTCTCTGAAAGACTTTTCCGCCAAATTATATCGTGATGCGCAGTGCATTTAGCTTCTGCCAGATGCAATATCCCATGATCAAAAATCCATCACATGTACGTCAGCAGCGTCATTGCCATGTAACAAAGAAAAGTAAGTGCCGACCAATAGAACTCCTAGAATTAGGTGAACGTTCCTTTGATAATGGTGTGTTGCATCGCGAAACTATTCTGCTCCATAAAACGTTCAGCACTAAATGAAAGCTCTCAGAAATATATCAAAGTTCAGCGAATCTCCGAAACTATGTTTTCCCTGACATTTTCAACTCTGACATTTTCAACTTCCTTTATGGATACAAAACCGGAATACAAGACGTTGAACCTGTGACAGTTTTCTTCAATTTCTGTCTTATGTCCCAAAAATACCCACATACGTAAGCACATAATACGTTAGCTGGCTTACTTTTTACCAACTTAAGCTAAAGGCCTGTGCACTACACACAGGACTGTTTTTTTATTTGATTTCGGATAAAGAGTAGCCACCTCAAGACAATGGTAAACAAAAAGAGCCGTTTGCCTCATGTGTTTAGGGTTTTTACCCTTTTCGCAGGCATCCAGATTTGTTTGAAAACATCAATGTGATTGATCTACTTGACCAATAATGAACACCAAGTTTCTTCCATAAACGTACGTGCAATATCAATGCGGTCGGTAATGCTACCGATTTCACCCTTAATACATGCAGTTAACTGTCTGTTCTTGTCTTATTTGCACCTCAATCTTTAAGGATGCCTTATGTTCGTAATTAATATTAATAAATAACTTAATTTACCTAATTATGCGCTTACAAGCAATCATTTTTGGACTGTAGGTTTATGAGAAAGATCGCTGTCGAATTCACAGTGCGGCATTCCGAGTGCTCTCCTACGCAATGGAAAAATGCTTCGTTTTTTCCAAACAGTGGTCAGATTATTGACTAGCTATTTCCCTCACACATGCGCTTGTATGTTCCCATTTTCCCTCATCATTAGTTGCAGTACTTTCATCGGTAAGGATTTCACCCTGTGGTTTAACTTCCAAACATAAGTTTCACCCCAAGTACTTTTGTTTAGTTCACCGCCACGACAGACTGTGAACAAACTAGAAAGCTGACTAGAAGCTGAATAGAAGCTGGCTAGAAAGCCAACTGAGCGGTTGTTGAAGAAATCAGGTTGAGGCTGATTCAGGGTTGAATTCACACCCAGCCTTGTAACCAGTGAGTTTATCCTTATCTACGAACAGACCCCCGGAATACTCCACTCGCTTGGGTCCATTGTGAATTTTGGTCCTATTTCTAAACAAGTGAGGGGAGATTTTCTGTTCCTGTCAGCTCTGCCAAAGAATGACGGCCCAGTCAAATGCGGAGAAGAGCACGCAGTTAAGCATCATTTTCCCTAGGATCGCTGTTCCAGGTTGAGAGACATATCATAGCTCATGTATCATTGTCTGATTGGATTTCCTAAGTATAGTTTTCTAAACCATGCTGCTTGATAAATTATCACAAACATGTACTATCCTCATGGATAGTGAAAACGTTTCTATGACTTTCAGCAGCCTATGTTTTCCTAGCCTGTTCAGATGTCCGCTGGTGTGGCGCATTCGTGCAAACGAAGTGGCTGAATCAGCGATTAGAAGCTTCTAAGAGAGGACTGTCTCTTCGAACGCCATAAAATGATTGTTTAAGAAAGCAGGCATAGATAAGGCGGATTTTAAACAAAAAATTTAAAAATATTACTCCAAACTACTGTCGGCACCCATCCGATAAAAACGTGCTCGAATGTGGTCACGTCAGAAAGAAAAATTAAGGAACATTTCAGGGTAAAAATGATAACTACCTATAAAACTTACCTACGGCTTTGTCTGGAAAATGAAGAAGAACGAGATCGTGAGCCTGACGAATCGCTAGATGAGACACACTGTCGGGTCGGCGGTGCTTCGTAGTGGCGCTGCAGAAACTTTCCACCAAACCGCTTGAGGCCCATACGTCGCAGTGCTACAAATAAATAACAGACAGGGAAATAAACTCACGAAATCGGCCATTAGGCCGACGTCTGACATCAAAGTGAGGGTGAGCCAAAAGAGTCTGATATTTATACTCGTTTTCGATCACTGTGTTAGGGTTAGAACACCACATCAAACACACTAACCCTTTTTTCTGGCTTTCCTAATATCTTTAAACCAATTGAGCTCAACTTTGTACCCAAATATTCTCTCTCCATCATACCTGGTGGAGGTAGCAATGTATCAACGGTTTATTGAAGAGCCTTACTTTGATATGAGCCTTTTGGCAACACTGTGGGAGTCAAATCTTATCGCCACAAACAACTGGGATTTATCTTCTGAGAAACTAAAGAAGTCTATTTTGCATTTTCCGTCACACTGTTTAGAGAACAACTCTCTAAATTTGAGTAAATATTACATATGGCACAATGGTTTACTTGATGTCGTCAATGCTGACATTTCCGGGAAATCCACGAATGAAGATAGAATGTCTGCTCGGCAAAACCTTTCGTGGATCGATTAGTATCGCCTGTGGGAACCGCATCTATTACAGGAATCACACCCAGATAGCCACAATTAACTGACTCAAATATTCGCCGTTTTCAAGGCCAAGTGTGTAGTATACAATGAATGATTTTGTTTTCCGTTTTCAGTCTAGTGCCAAGTCTTATTTGCAAGACGAATAAACCTAGCTCTCCGATCGTCTCCACAATGCATCTCTCAGAATGGGCTAGATGGTATCGATAAGTTCCAAACTGATTGCTCTTCTGATGCCTATGAAGTTTTTCGTTTTTCGCCTATTTTTTCTTCGTTAATCCAACATTTACGATGCCGCTATGTGCGCAAGCGCGGAATGTAAACAGAAGAACTCCTTCGTCAGTCCACACTAACTTACTGGTTTCTCGGTTCATTAGGTGTGGACGGCGTCCTCTAAGCCCCTTTCAAATTCATATGGCGGACCGTAGCGGTCCATAAATTCTCATGTGCTGCCTGGTCGGGCCGAGCCGGGGTTACAACTGGCCTTCTTGATGTGGTTGGAGAATTGGTTCACATAATCCATCATCAGTGAAGCCTTTGAGCGGTAGGGTGCAGTCATGGAATTAAGGTTTTTAGCTTCCATCGCTCGTACACCATAGGGGCTCGAATTCACGGATTCACGGATAGATGCACAGGATCGAGTGCAAGTTTCCCAGGTCGTTTTGCTCTTGCCGTTCAGCGGCTTCTGTTCACCCGAAAGGCATAAGCGAAGGAAGGGTGTAGCGCTTCTTCTGTCTTCTCAGTGTGGGGAAATTAGCTTATCGCGGGGACTCATATAAGAAAGCGTCTAATAGTGTTTTGAACTGGGTTCTAGAAAGAGCGTGGACAGCTGTCCGAGAAATTTATTTCATGCAGCAACTATCCGAAATGGGAAAAATTTATCTGATAAAACAGCGCGTGCTGAGCTTGAAGATCTTCTTATGTGTCTCCGCTGTGTGTTTGCCGAGTCAACGGCAAAACCCCTGTTGGCCAAGCTTTGTTCAAACGGAGCGTAAGAATTAGATCCCGTCACAGGTGACGATACTCCAGCGGAAAAAGGCCAAGCACCACGAGACGCGCTCCATGGTCAACGGATTTGAGGCAGGCAGCCATTTGCACTGCAGCTCACTGGGACGCTCAGTGAGGGTTATGTCATTCGTACTTCCCGATTAGACAACTTGGTTGGCGTATTTAAAAGCTATCTGAGTAGGCTCCACAGAGTATTTGTAATTCTTCGAGAGCAGTGCGCGAGTGATAAGTGGACGCACTGTTTGCCATGTAGAGGAAGGTGCCAGCCCAACTACTACCGCTTTGTAGCGTCTACATGCATTCTGGAAGCATTTTTATTGGAGCTCCATGGTTTCAAGTCATCCGTAAAAAGTAAACATGCACTTGCAAGAACCTGGAGGTCGTTGACTTATATCAAAACAGCGGTGGTGCCGGAACAAAGACTTGAGGAACTTCAATGTAAACCAGCGCCGGAGAAGAGTCGACCGAGCCTACTTCTACTCGGAATTTTCTGTCTAAAAGAATGCCTTGATCCAGTGTAGGATTTTCCCTTGAATCCCGTAACACTTGAGGTTTGGAGCAGCAGAACGTGTGGGGCTAGATCAAATGCTTTTGAGAAACCGAAAAATATGGCATTTAGTATAAGTCCTTTGTCTTTGGCTTGTGTTAAAGTGTCCATAAATACAAGCATGTTCCTCATGCAAGAACGGTTTAAGATAAATCAGTGTTGAACTGGAGATATCAGATTGTTGTAAGTAAATTGATGTAGGATGGCTCGCTTAAGAATGCACTCCATCACCTTTTACGGCACGCTAGTGAGGCTTTTAGGCTTGTAGCTGCCAGACGATAATCGACCACCGATTCTGTAGATCGGCGTGGAATCGCTCCCTTCCAGGCAAAGAGAAGGTGGCCTTTATCGAGCGACTGACGAAACACTAAGTAGAAATGACTGCCAGCGTAAGCGACATTTCCTTCAGGATCCTTGGATGGTTTTGTAATAATACTGATAACGTTCATTCCAAACTTGTGGGTAGCATACCGTCTGGCATGATCATACTTTCACAGTCAGAATAAAGCATGACTGGGGAAATTCCGGGTAGTGGGGATTGCGCGAAAAGAGGATAGTGTCATAAGCGGTGGGAAACTTGTGGGAAACAATGGGCATGAGGCCCGACTAGTTCAAAGACAGCCTGCTGGCATGAACTAAAACTGAACAACATTGCTGGCCATGAATAAACATGAGCGGTTAAGTAAACGGCCGGAGTCGGGCCTTCACGCGTAGAATGGGCCTATGCTACTCAGGAGTTAAAGTATGTCCTCCACCGCGGAGACGCCGTGGGCTGGACGCACACCCAAAATTTCTCTGAAACCGTGGTTCGAAGGAGGAAAACTTTAACATAAAGTTTTAACATTTGATGGTAATTTTTCGGGCGTATGAGATCTTCCCAAACGGCCGCAGTTTTGTTGAAAGTTGTTTAAATCTACTCAATCCCCGCGATATTTAAGGCCCGCGATATTCATATTTTAAGTGGCTGTTATGGCTGAGCGTGTGAATGAGGAGGATGATTTTGTGGAGTATTTGGCTCGTCAAATTTTTTCTCATTCAGTGAATTTCAAGTCGCTTTGAAAGAGTACCAGGCGAAACTTTACGTTGTTTTCGTCCGTATGAACTCCAGAAAGAGCAGCAATTCGCTACTTTTGTATGAAAAAGCCTTCTACCGTTGCAGCAGACATCCCTGCACACGAAGCAGAAGCCGTGGAATTCGTCGCACCAAGTAAGTTCACGGTTGATTGTGTGTGCGTTGTAGCGCACGTCGTACCGATTGTCCGGCAAGGTGACACGTTCTCCGGTACCATGACTGCTTGA